TGCACAGGACCTTGTCCAGGCGGGTCTTGAATATCTCCAGAGAAGGAGACCCCACAGCCTCTCTGGGCAACCTGTTCCAGTGCTCCGTCACCCTCAGAGGGAAGAAGTTCTTCCTCATGTCCAGATGGAACTTCCTGTGCTTCAGTTTGTGCCCATTGCCCCTTGTCCTGTCGCTGGGCACCACTGAAGAGAGTCTGGCCCCATCCTCTTGACACCCACCCTTCAGATATTTGTAAGTATATATTAGGTCCCCTCGCAGCCTTCTCTTCTTCAGGCTGAACAATCCCAGCTCCCTCAGCCTTTCCTCATAGGAGAGATGGCTCCAGTCCCCTCATCATCTTTGTAGCCCTAATTCAACCGTGATTTCTATTGAGTGCTCATCTGAGCATCAGAGGGGCAAACTGGAAGGCACCTGACAGCACTGGGTACCAGAAGGAATGCCTCCATCAGACACACTACAGGGGCTGCGGCCGGTATCTCACTGGGAGGGACCACACAACCCACTGCAAGATGTCCCTGGCCTTCCTTCCCTTCTGCCCTTATTTATGCTGTAACAAATCTAACTTAGCAATATATGTGGTATTGGTCATTGGGAGGTCATGCCACTAACGTGGTTATGACAGCATGTCTCCATGCCCCAGCTTCTTCCAGTCCTCCTCTGTGAAGGGTCTATGGCAGATGTGTCCTCATCTCTCGCTCCTGGGGCAGCCACATGCATTATGCTGCAGAGCTCTGTCTGGGCTGCAGATATCCCTCAGCCTGGCCTTGCTGATTTAAAATGAGCTCGGGTGTTGCTGCTGTACAGTGCTGTCTGAAAGGCAGGCAGAGCCTGGAGCAGGGGCCAGGCAGGTCAACCTGGAGGCTCTCCGGCCATACAGCCAGCCGGGACAGTTCTGGCCACACACCGAATTTTGTTCCCTACCATGCCAGACTCTTACAGGAGAAGCCCCCCCCAAGCCGTGCTAGGAGCCACAGTTCTTGTTCATATGAACCAAATTTACCTCCAGGTAAGTAAAGACTAATAACAAAGATGATTTTTAACTGCAGTATTGTCCTTTATCCAGGACCCTAAATGTGCTTTCAGTTACAGTCACTGTAGAAATAAGAAGGCAAACTGCAGATGCTCTCGGGAGCACAGTCACTGCTTTGCTGTTGCGCTGTCATGCCAGGGGGTAGGCGCATATTTCACTTAGCAGAATTTAACTTGGGTGCACTAAATTTTCTCCTGGAGGAGCTCATCTCCAGCTGCACACTGTGTAAGTAACCCACAGAGACCACCCTCCTGATGTTGGTAGTTCATCTGCGGGACGGGAAGTGTAAATAGCTCTCCCTGTGACACCAGACTGCAACACGACCACACTGAACCAGCCCAAAGAGAGGACTCCTGCTGATTACGGGGTGACGTTACAGAACAGGCAGCTGTCCCCTTTGCTTCGCACAGTCAACACTATCGTAAAGAGAATTTGTAGGGCTTGGCTGTAATGTCTCAAAGACATCTATATGGCTCACAGTTTCTAATCTGTCAAATGATTTGTCTTCCTGGATGGACTCCTTTTCTTTTTTAGCCATGCCTGAAATCTGTTCTGTGTAACGGCGTTAACAGCCACAGGTGACAGCTGGTTACCTGGTCATCTACCTTTCATATCGTGAAGTTTTTAAGCATGGTCTCAGAAGATGAAATATTTGTCAAGGAATCATAAGAAAAAACTGTTGTGTTTTTTTTATTTCCAAAGCAGAGAGGTAAGTGATAGACACAATACAAAGCACTTCTGCTGCTGGACTCCAGTCATGGCCGCGAGCGGCACGAAGAAACAACCATCCAGGTGATTCACGAGCTTGCCGAGACAGCTTGCTGAGTCACCAATTCAAAGCTGCAGGTTTCCAGCACTTCGGGACACCAAGCTCAGCGCTTGATGATGTGCATGGATGTCACTTCTATCTGAGAGAAGAGTCTTTATCCACAGTCCTGGCAGAGTTGAGCAAAACTGTATGTTTAATGTCACAGAAGTGGTAAGGCTTAGCCTTCAAATGGGGGAAGCTCTTCCACAGCTGGTAGTCGGTGTGGTTACTTCTAGCTGTACCACACAGCAGAATGATAAGGCATGAAGATGGGTCCTTCTAGAAACTAAACAATTTCAGCATTGTTTTAGAAATCAAAATGCAGATCTTCAATGTAAAAAAGTACATACAAAAGCTAAACAATATTTCATTTTTGCTATCCTCATCTACCAACACGTATATTTTCACAACTAAATAAAAAGAATTCATTGATTTGCCATTGGAAAGGTATTTCTCTGATGTGAAATACAGGTTTTGCCTTACATCTCAAAGAGATTACCAGTCACACAGAACTGTGGTTTTCGTTGATACATGAAAAAATAAGCAGTGAGAAGACTTTAGGACTTGTTAATCCCAGCTTCAGAAAGATATGTCACTCTTCCCAGCCTCACTGTTGAGGCAGACACTATACATAAAGTTTCACCTGTCCCTAAAAAGGCCAAGAAGAACAGGTTCAGGTTGAAACAAGCACATATGCCTTACCAAAAAACGCCTCAGAAACAAACTGTCCTCTCATGGCTGCTCCTAACTTCTCACTGGGAAGTTCTCAGCCCCAGAACAAGCTGAATTTGTTTTCCTTACTGCTTTACAGAAGGGAGGGTGAGAAAGAGATCACCAGTCTACCAGTTCATTAAATTCTTCTAATTCAGATAGAGGAGTCCATGGTGAATATGTTTATGTACCACACTGCCACAGGACTCGTGTGCTCTCCTCTGGTTTTTGTTTGCATGTTTTGGGTTGCATATTAATTCTGCATTGTATCTGCAAATATCATATCTTTATGCATAATGGATTTCTTCTTTTGAGGCTAACTTTGTTTATGTTGCAATATTTAAGGCCTTTTACTCTACTACAGAATCTGAAATTTTTAATCCAAATTCAGTGACACATAAAATAAATATACTCTAATTTTATGTTCGTTTTTTTTAAACCATTTTTTTTAATGAACAGAATTTGAGATATGCTGTTAACTGTGAAATAATTACTAACAGACTAGAATGAACACTATGAAACCTGCTGTAAACACATGAACTGAGCCTGCCACCCTTTCTCTGGAAAGCGAGGATGCAGAACTTGCCTTATGACCTTCTGGAGACAGAGACTATATCC